CAAAAGGAAACCAAGCATCTAAGAATCTACGGGACCCTTTTCTGTTGTGTCTCGAAGGAAGTGCAACCTGCTGATCTTCATGTACATGGAAGGCCTTCTCAGCCTGGCCGCCCTGGGAGTTCTCACCTTGCTGCAGGCGGGCGAGCGGGCCGGCGAACGCGGGGCCCTGGAGGTAGTGCATATCCATTCTCCTCCTACGTCACTTCATGTATCCCGCCCATTCAACGCAGGGCGTCTTCAACCTAAACAAAATTTTCAACACAGCCCATCAAAGCAGCAATAATGAACACGGAGTGCTGACATTCATTGGACTCGGCCGGTGGCTGAAAGCTTTGGGCGGCTGGCACTGGGCTTCCGAGGCTCCGGGAAACGCTCAAACCGAAGCGCCTGGCCCGTTTTGGGTCGTGGGGCTGGAAAATGGATTCTTCGCCCAATGTTGCCAAGGGTCATGAAAGAGCAACAGGGGGAAACCGGCCATGCAGGTTCCCCGACACGGGCCCAGTTGCCATGTGATTTCAAGCTCTCCCGGTGATGCAGCGGCATCCCTCAAGAGGCAACCGCTCGCATCCCAGAAATCGGGTCACGCGTGTGGGGTTTTCAGCACAGACTCCGGACATGCGCGGCTTTGCACGTCCCGTCTGTCTTTTTCCCCATGCCTAGTCAAGGGCCAGCGCTGAAAAGCATGACGGAAAAGCTCGTCCTCAAGGAATTTGGGCTGGACAGTTTTTCCTTGATGGTACGGCTCTTGGATTCCGCCTGTGTGACCTAGCTAGTGCAAGGATGACCCCAGAAACCTCTCACTTTGAGCTCAACCCCTACCAACAGCTATCTTCATTGGCTCAAAGCAAGACCCTGGGTGTTTCTTAAAGTAGAGACTCCAGCTGTTTCCTTCTTGATTTCCCTTCACAAAAAGTCCCTTGCAAACCCTTCATTCGGAGGGGATTGTGAGAATGGTCCATGTCTGGCCTCTCCAGAGGTGGAGTTGCCTTCGCCGAATGTGTGAGGACCTCTCCTCGAGGATGGTTTCAGGTCGCACCGAACTATGGTTCAACGTCTTGAACCCCAAGAACATCTGACACCGAAAGGAAGCAACCTATCTGGAGCTTAAGGTTCCACACCTAAGGTGGACACTGAAAAATATGGGTGGACACTGGACACTGAAAGCTTCTTCAAACCGTTCGAGTCAATTCAAGCCGTGGCAGGGCCTCCGAATCGATTGGAATCGAGGCCTCGAATCGACTCGTTCGCAGGTGGCGGCGCCTCCCCTGAGCTCCGCGTGGTTCAACTGGCCGGCCAAGACCTCGATCTTCTTGGGGCTCAGCGACTCGGAAGCGTTCCGATGGACATGTGGGTATGGGTCAAAGTTAAACCAGGGGACAGCAGGGTTTAGTCCCTGTTTTACCAGGGTTCCATTTTGGGCACTTATTTTTGACCCACAGCCATGTAGTCGAGAAACCAGAAGGATAAACCAGTCGTCAAAAACAGGTGCGGCAAAGCTGTTGGGAAACTTACAGCTTTTGCACAGACCTTTATGAACAGACATTTAGACAAAGATGTCACTTGGCGGATGTTCCTGTTGAGCTTGGTGGATTGCAGGTAGATAACCTAATGTTTGATGGGAGATTCTGCGTTGCGCGAACCTCTGAGGCCTTTTGGGAATGGTCTCAACTGGCCTTTTCACGTGAACTCAAACGTTTCATACGCCTTCCCTGTTACGCGTGCTCCAAATAAAGGTACGTATTCTATTTACGAACTACATGGTTCCAAAGCCAGTTGCAAACTATTGCGCTGGTCCAAGCTGTTTCGTGACAAGTGGTAGCGGGATATCGTTTCGTAATCCTCTGCGTTGTGGAAAGGTTGTAGATTGGTCTCAGCCGGCAGGATTTTCCTTTGCGTTTCAATCCAGGTGTTTCGTGGTAGCGGGATTTTGTTGCTTAATAAGATCTGACTCTGGTTCTTTTAGCACATCCACATCCCGGCCACCCGCCTCAGCTTCCCCGAGCTGTGTTTTGGGGGTGGGGTCGACAAGTTCTGGCCCAAGCTGCAGAATGGAAGGAGGCTCAGCCCGCTGCATGGTAAACCGGGATTAAACCATGCAGATTAGGGGAGTGCAACTCCTTTAGAGGGACTCTCCAAAGAGAATCGGGAGATTGATCGGGGGTTCCCATGATTGCGAGAGGAAAGCATATGGCTGCGGCTCAGAAAATGGTACCCAAAATGGCCCCCTGGCAAATGGAAAGGTAGACTCAAGCCCGCGTAACCCTAGATCTTTAGTTTTGAGCCACAGCCATATAAGCCAACCGTCCGATTCAAAATCGATCCCCAAAAAGCACACGTGAGCAGCCCACGGGCGCCAGCCCCCTCAATCTCAGTTGACGAGTTTGTGCTTTTTGGCCTGTGTAGTGTTTGGTTTAGGCACACGGCGAACCAAACAATCTTGCTAGCTTCGTCTTTTCAGCCCTTTTTCTCCTCCGCGCGCAAGAAACAGCAAATAATAATAATAAGAAGAAGAAGAAGAAGAAGAGAAAGACAAGAAGACGCACCGCGCGGCTCTCTTTGCGATTTTTCGCGAGGCCACCTGATGCTGAGCGTGGGGTGGTTCTCCTCCGCGGCGTTCCTGGGCGCCGCGGCGACAGCGCAGGCCGCCACGCTGTCGCTGCCCATCTCGCTGGCGCTGGATGCCGCGCTGCTGCGGGCCTCCGTCTCCCAGGCGAGCGAGCGAAGGGGAGCGAGCGAGCGAAGGGGTCGGTCCGGGTCCCTTTTCGCATGGGAAGGACTTGTCACTTGTTCCGTTTTTTTTTTTTTCCCCCACAGAGATTGGAACTGAATTCCTGCTGGGGGTTTTAGATGCGTCACGTGTCGACGTGTCGGGTCGTGGGAAGTGGCTTCATTTTGAGGGTTCTCAAGGCCAGTTTTCGGGCTGGAGATTCCTTTCAACCACGATTTAGAGGCAAACTTTGAGGAGGTCACTTGAATCAAGGACCCAGGTTGAGGGAGATGATAGGAATCGTCCCAATTCAAGAAACCCCGAAGCGCCCTCCGACTGTTTGGTGTTTTTTAGGCACCACGAACATCACCACTCGCCGTTTCTGAGACGGATGGAGTCCTAAGGACCCAACCTGGGGAAATTCTTTGCATATGAAACCACTGTGAGGTTTCCAAAAAATAACACAGGGTGGTTCTTGCTTCGGAGGTGGGCTAGCTACTATAGGGGCCAAATAGTTAGAATGAGCTTGTGGGCACTTAGCCCAATTGTGCTATGATTAAAACTATCAAGCCTATCACATCAATGCCTTTCAGAACCATTTTTGTTGAGGAGACCTCCCTGTGGCATGGAAACGCCCCGTCATGTTTCGAGCTCTCCGGAGCCGCAAGGTGGGGTTCCCGGAATCCAACAAGTTGGACGGCTTTGCTTTTGGCTTCCCTATCCAAGCCCAAAAAGAACACCAGGCACATGGACATGGGCCACACGCGCCTTGCACGCCTTGCTTAGGTCCAGCTGGCGGGAAGCTTCTTCGTGGTGCTTGGCCTATGGGTGGGCCACCAGAGCGGCGCGCCCAAAGAGGCCGACCCGCTGAAGGAGCCGCTCCTGGCCTAAGCGAAGGAGCCGAGAGTCTGGAAGGTGGTGCAAACACCGCCGAGCGAGAGAGGCGGCGGGTGGTTTTCTGGGCGGTTTTTGCCAGAACTCCCCGGGGCGCTGGGCGAGTAGAAACTGGGCCTTGCGTTAAGGCGCGACGGGTGGATACGTGCGATGCACGGATGGCAGCTCAAAAGTTGGAATTTCGGGAAAGCTCTGAACGCGGTTGCTTCGTGTTGGTCCGTTTGGAAGGGACATGGGGGCACACCATCTTTCCAACAAGAACGAAGCAACACCGAATTTTCGCATGCCCATATGGCGCCGCTTCTGTTGACGGTGGCTTGTAGGGGTATTTGACTTGACCATCTCGGAGTCTGAACAGGACATGGGAAACATAACAGCTTTTCTGTGGCTCATTGGCTGGACTGGCAGTCATTGGTATCGCACAAGGGTAACTGGCCGCAACACCATGATTTTTGATGAGACAGAAGCCCATGAGTGACTGTGCAGGGAGACTAATTACAGATTCAAAAGACCTTTTCAGCTCTGTACAAAGCAACAACAGCGGATTCCTCTTGTCTGACGACCTTTTGACATGTTTAAGCCATGCGCGGAAACTTTTGAGCACCGCCCAAGCGGACAATTGAAACATGCCGTTGCCCGCACCTGAGTGGTGCCAGGCCTTCATTTTCCCGCAGCACATTGCGTGAGTGTTAATCCTCTGCCCGTCCCATTTTTGGCAGAAAGTCAGCGTCCCATGTTGGCGCGTCAAACCAGTTGTTCGGCATGCGTGAACGAGTGAAGAACTCCAGATGAGATGCACGAGCCAGCCAGCGCGCTTCTTGGTTTTTGCACCTGTGTAGGGTTCAATGGTTCAATGGTTCATATGATTTGGACCCTGCCAAGCCCACCCGCCATCAGATGATGGACACTTAAGTCAAGCAGCACTACAATGGCCTTGTTAATGAGTGGCGACTATAGGGGCAGGTCACAATTTATATTAGAGAACTCTTGAATCCACATCGAACATTCGACCCTGATTGGCCTGTGTGCAATGGACTTGCACAGTGCGCCAAGCCCGAAGCCCGTGGCGCCTCTTCCAAGTGTCCGATGGCCAAATGCAGAGCCTGGGGTTGTTTCTCGGAGGTCAGTTGAATTCTGGGGCCTTAATGTGCGAGGGGAAGGATACATTTGTTCTTCGCCACTTTGCAAGGGCAAGGCACGCCTAGAGGCGCGTGTGCGGCAGGTAGATGCACAACAGCTGAAAAAGCGCTTCGGCAGACCGATGACGCAGCTTAGTTTTACAGGGAGAAGCTTGTTCCCTTGCTTCCCAGCTGATTCACACCAAGCATGGCCACAAAGAGGATCGCTTCCTCCACAAGAAATAGAGGCACGAGCCGTTTTTGTTTCTCTCAATTTCTGCAGAGGCTCAAGTGTATGGAGCCAGCAGCGAGCTGTTGGCCTTGCGCTACTCTTTTGCGAGCCTTGGGATGTTGCGTTTTTTTGGCCAATGCGCGCCATCCGCGCGCCGGGCCCGGCGCTTTGCGGATATGGTGAACGTAACCTCGGCTCCGTGCAGCAACATCCGATGCGCTGCCGCCTCGGTGAAGGAAGATGGCAAGCGAGTGCAGGCAGGTGTTGCTCAAACTGACTCCAAGAAACGGTTTTGGAGTTTCTTGTGGCTTCCAAAGAAGCAATATGCGTCCCGTGTGCCAGGGTTTGTCTCATGAGGGAATCTAAACAGGGGGAACACCCCACACGGGTCCGTTTGGCTTTCCCTTCCCACATATATTATATATCCATTTTTATCTATATATTTACCGATCTGTGTTAACACATATGATTGCTGTACAGACAGTTTGTACATTCCTTCGATGCCTTTGTGCATCAAGGCCTTGAGCCTTATTGACATTGCCCTGGATACAAAAGCGCTACGCTGGCCGTGCTGACACTCACAGGTCAAACATCAGTTTACACAGTGTTTAACATGGTAGCGGAGCAGTGATGCCTGGTACACGATCCTCACACACTAGGCAGGGTGAGCTCCAACACGCACCCACCCACAGGTTCAGGTACACAGTAGTGAGCAGACATGGCAGCCCAACAACAACAACAGCCACAGGAGCAGCAGCTGGAAGGAATTCACAAGTACAAGATATCACCACCACGGTTCGCAGGAGAATACAACTCCTTTGAGGAATGGAAACACAAAACGACAGCACACCTTGGACCACAAGACCCCGCATACAACAGACTGCTGAGGCAGTCACGGCAATGAACAGGACAAGTTACAAACGCCCAACTTGAGACTGCAGCACCGCAACAGCCCTCGCTACGGTGAGCGCATGCGATGGACCAGCGTCTACAATCTGCAGAGAAAACGTGCAAGGCAACAGATGCCATGTACTTCATACCTCTTGGTACAAGAAGCAGTGTGTACCTAACACGGCTGCTAAGACCACAACTGGATGAACAGAAGTTTCGAAGAGAGCCTCGCAACATGGGGATTTCAACTTTCAAGGTATGCTACCAGACGCAGTCAAGATTGCAATGCTGCTCAATGAGACAAAAAGACCACTACAGCGACACCTACAGCTGCAAGCAGGAAACAACACAACGTACGCACAGATCAGATCAATGGTGATCGAGTACTACAGAGCTACAGCATCATTCACCAGACTACAAGCAATCACATCAGGCAACAACAATCATTGACCAGCCCCGATGGACATAGGAGCGACATGGTACAACAAAGGGAAAGGAAAGAAGGGCAAGCGCAAGGGCAAAGGAAAGCGCAACAAAGGCAAAGGCTATGGCGGCTACGGGAACAACTACAGCTACAACAGCTACAATCAACAGCCGGTTTCTCACATCCTTGGGCTACAGAAACAACCTCTTCGCACATTGGAAGGGATCCATTTGGACACAGTCCACAACAAGACCAATACAATGCACATGGCGATGACGAGCTTGAACGAGAGATGGGGAGCTCAAGTACATCCACGGTTGGGCCAGGAACCCGGAGGTGGATTACACCGGCTGAACAGCTCTCCCTTCGAAGCTGTTGCAACACTTTTGAATTACATCTCCGTGGGCATCTGTTGCGCACAGCATCTTGGCACATTCTATGTGGCTACACTGCAGTGGAACACAAGGCGCATCACAGAATCCCCAGGTGCTACATTCGCTTTTTTCAATCGTGGCTGCAGTGCAATCCACATGCAGGTGCGCAGCAACATGGGCTGGATGCAGACAGAGGATGGGCTGCAATGGCACCACATCTGCAAGTACACCGGCAACAAATGGCCTGCTTGGCCTGTACATGAAGTACAGTTGGCAGAGCGGCTACATTTGGTCACACAATGCCTGCGCCGGCGTCTCGCAACTTGCTACAGACCCGATGGCAGTCCGATGGGCATGCTACAGTGGCGCAGGCCTTGAGCCTCATGGGTGTGAACAACAGTGCCTTCCTGCAGAACATCAGATCCACGCAAGAAGCGAACAGCGTTGAAATCAAAGCACGCTGGAGACTGGAGGGCCTGCAATCCCTCAACATCCAGACCACATCGAGTACATCAGGGAACAGTAGAATGTTTTCTTCCAACACTATGTCGCGACCAAGAACGAGGTGTACATGGAATTCAGTACAGCGGTGAAACAGGGCAGGACATAGCTCACGCATGAGTGGCGTCTTGTACACTAGATTAGCTGTGTACAATGCGAGGAGGAGTGTGAAAACGTATCATGGCTGCACAGACAGTTTGCGTTGCCCTGGATACAAAAGCGCTAAACTGGGCCGTGCTGACACTCACAGGTGAAACATCGCACAGTCACTCAGAGCTCCCCAAGAAAATGAACCTGCGTCATGGATCAGGTCGCAAACTAAGCTATGGTACCTTCAGAAGAAAGCCTTTTTCGCGGCTGGTTTGAAGGGAAACCACCCATGGTCCGGATCCCACAGCTTTGACAGGCGGATGAAGGTTAGTACCCAAACCATCAGTCGGTGCCTCCGTTTTAAATTTGTTTTGCATAGGCCTCTGTCACAGGTGGAGTTCACAGATGGAGCCGAATTTGAGCTGCATGGACTCTGGCTCCGAGACGCTTGTCGGGACGAGAACTTTGTGTCGGAGGTGGCGGGGGAACGCTACCTGACGAGGACCGGGGAGAGATTTTTTGAGCAATATCTGACGGGTGAAAATGGGGTGCTATGGATTTGGACTTTTTTCACCTCGGTTTCCCTTTGATACGGCCAACCACTGAAAAATCAAGCCACAAAAAAAACCGTAGGTTTCAGTCTTTGGTTCCATTTATCAGGGTTGGGGTTTCCCCAAAAATGGAGTCTTAGGTTGCAACCCCATGGTCATATGAGTATTGCAAACATGGCTCCTTAAAAGATACATTTTGCAACCATTTGAAACATGGCTTTCTCCACCAAAATAAGAAGTGGACACCTCCATGTACAAGTTGCAATGTTCAGGTGTTTCTATTGTAAGGATCCCTGCTGCAAACAATGGCCATTTGGGGTTACCTTATGTTTCCACAGCCATGTGAGTACTTGTGGGTACCTATTTTTGACCACAGCCATATGAGTATTGCAAACCAGGCGGTTCCCAAGCCGCCATCTCGCCGCCGCCAAGCCGCCGCCTTGGCCAGGACTGCCTTTAAGGAGAAGCAGTCCCACGCGGACGGCAAAGTGGCAGACGCCAAGGTGGTGGAGGGCAGTCTTCAGGCCGTGGGTCAAAATCCAAATCCATCCCAATCCCCACTAAAATAGAGTAAAACGGGTGGCCCACCTAACCCTAAAATGGGATGCCGTTGCTTTAAAAACCAAATCGTACAGTGAACGTCACTAAAATAGGGTGGTGAATTCACCTACCCACCAACCTACCCACCAAAACGGGTCATCCCAAAACGCTTTTGACACCCGCAGCCAGGTGAAATGGGCGAACGAAGGTTCCTTGAGCGAGGTCGCCTCCATCTTCCCCAGCAACTTCTTGCGAACCTACGCTGGCGTTGTGGGCAGGCATCTGAAAGGAGCTTCTCGTGCCGGTGCAAGCAAGCCTACGCGCGTAGGATTCAATTTGCTTAAGGCCTAAGGCCTAAGCAGGGCTCCTTAAAAGATACATTTTGCCCATTAGAAACATGGCTTTTTCCACAAAAGTAATCGGAACACCACCATTTACAAGGCAATGTTCAGGTGAGCAGCGGTTTTTTTTTAAATGCAGGAGCCAAAAGGAGAGGGGAACTGGCATGGTAGCCGCGTAGCCTACTCCTGGGACCGCGTAGCCTCGCGTAGCCTCCGCGTAGCCACTAGCAAAGGGAGCTGTCGACAATCGTCCGCGTAGCCTCCGCCTAGATCCTTTGTCTTGAGCTCAAGGCTTAGGTTGAAAGCTTGCGTGTCTCAGAGAAAATTTGATTTGCCTTGGCCCAGCCAGAGCTGAGTTCGCTCATTCCGCGTAGCCTCAGCGTAGCCTGCGCGTAGCCTCCGCGTAGCCTCCAAGGCGTGTTCAAGGCCACTGGCCCACGTGCCTCCTACTACTACTGTTACCATTACTACTACTACTGCTACTACTACTACTACTACTACTACTACTGCTACTGCTACTACTACTACTGCTACCACTACCACTACCACTACCACTACCACTACTACTGCTGCTACCACTACCACTACTACTACCACTGCTCCTGCTACTAATACTTCTACTACTATTACTACTAGTGCTAGTACTAGTACTAGTAGTAGTAGTAGAAGAAGTAGTAGTAGTACTAGTACTAGTACTAGTACTACTAGTACTACTACTACTACTACTACTACTACTACTACTTCTTCTGCTACTACGAACTTCCGGTTGCCGACGAGTATTCGCGTAGCCCCGGCGTAGCCCCCCGCGTAGCCACTTATCAACAAATATGTTCCGCGTAGCCTCCGCGTAGCCAAATTCCTAGGGGGAAAGACAGCCGCGTAGCCTCCGCGTAGGTATGTGCTTCCAGTGTATAGGCCCCACACCATTAAAAAAAACACGGCTCAGGTGTATAATGTAAGGATCCCTGCTAAGGACTTTGAGCAACCAAAGCCTTTGGTTTCAGTATCTATCCGTGGCAACAGGTGGCTCATGGTTATTCTAAGTCTAAGCAATTCGAATTAGAACAGGGATAAGTAGAACATTTGCCTACTTTTTTCTCCTTGTTCGAAGCAAAGCTTGCTTTGGACATCCATTTCTTCTTCGAACTTCCTAATTCTAATTTATTTTTGGTGATGTGCTGTTTTTGCTCACGGCATGATATCCCGCGAGTAGCAGCCCCGCCAACGCGTTTTGGTGTTGGCGGGGGTCTTCGATGTTGACTTTGCTTCAACCAATGCAGCCACACAAGCACAAACTCAACCACAAACCCGTGCGCGCACGCTGGCAGCTGACTGTGCTTACAGGTCTGTTGTGTGTGCCGATTGCCTTGTCAGACCAAGCCACCAGAACCCAACTGTAACCATGTCAGTTTGCATTGGCTTGAGAGAGCCGAACTGCTATTCCGTCAACTTGCATTGGCTTGAGTCCATAGACACGTTCAACAGAAGAAAAACATGCTCAGACAGGTGTAGTCTTGAACTTGTGCAGACAGAAGAGCCGCTCGGACAGGCGAGAATCCGAGAAAGAGCCCGGTCCACCTTGACGCCCTCACATGCTTCAGAGGGCTGCCGGTCTACACGACTGCTGCAAGCAAACACCCTGTAGTCGGCCTGCGCTTTCCAACCATGTCCTTTGCTGAGCTGTCTGCCGCGTGCGCCAAGCGGCTGGCCATGGTCTTGAAACAGCTTGGGGCTGAAACTTCGCCGCTTTTTGTTTTTTCCATCGCATCTTTGCTTCCATGACTGCCTGCGGGCGGCAGGGCTGCTAGCTTGAGGGAACCTGTTCGTACTTTTCCGCTTTCGCAGGGTGATGGGTTTTCGTACCCAAATCCTGGTGGCGGTTAACACCTGTGTTAAAAGTAACAGCTGCAAGCGAAAGGGCTTGAACCCGCACTTGAATTGGAATCTCAAGCGCTGTGCCCTTGCACGAGTTGTGTGCATTCACACCGCTTGCCATTTTGGCCTTTCATTCAAGACCTGACCGCCCTGGAACTTCTGCCATGACTGCACCCTCATGCTTCTTCGACGTCGTGCAGCATTACCAGCTCATGTCGATGACCGAGGTTGTGCCTGACTATGAGCGCTTGTACCATGATGTCCGCTTCGGGCGGTGATCCCTTGACAAACCGGACAAGCTGAGGCTCGTTGAGTCCTACCCATGCTACCCACCCTACCCACCGACCCGATGCCCAGACCGACGCCTTCTGTTTATTCGGGTCCGGACCCCCTTGCGACAAAACCTTGGGTGACGTGACCCCCATTGCACCGCTTGTGAGTTGGTCCTGCAAGACAGCTCTCCCCCCCCTGGGGTGACATTTGTGCCGGTGTGGCGTGTCATCTAACACGACGTTTGTGCCGGTGTGGCGCGTCGATACACCCCTCTCCAATTCCCCGTTGAAACACCATCCCATTGATCCCTAACCCGGCACACTACCGACTCCTGCGTGAGTCCGGCAAGCCGCCTCCAATTCTGAAAGATTTTATTCGCGTCCAGCATATTCCCTGACCGCCATTTCTTTCGCACCATGCCATCCCAGAGACAGATGAACTTTGCCAAGCTCTGCTCCAGTCCTACCACACGGGCATCATCTCGCAGTTCAAGAGCTTTCGGGGCCCGGACACGTCATGGGGGGGAGCGCACCGACCAACAGTCAAGTGGGAAGTACCTTTTGCTTGACTACCTCTCCATCAACCCGTCGCCGTCGACCCTACAGTGCTCTTTCTGCCAGCCCCAACATCAGTCACAGTACATCACGCCACTGTGCTTCTTCGAGGAGACCGCTGGCGCAACAAATGGTACGGCGCCTGCTACGGGTGCGCCACCTGCGACACCAGCAGCGTACCCTGGTTCAACTTCGAGGAGCTCCTCGCTGGACGGACCAGCCTCTCCTTTGAGCACCCGCCGTGTAGCACCGTCACATAGCGCCCGGAACCCTCCAGATCGCGGCCCCGGAGGATGACGACGCCCACATCACCATCCACCGGTGAGACACCGAGCGCAACAGCTGGATCCGCCTTCCCCTAAGCTCTGCAGGCGGGCGTGGAGCTATTTGACCAACAACGCCGCCGGACCGGCTAGCTCCCAGACTTACCAGAACGACCTTCAGGGAGATAGAGCATGGCTGCGCAACCGGGACTGGACTATAATATGCCCCCAGCCCGACACAAGATACTGGACCACACGTGACACGATATGGGTACCCATCCAGCAGTGAGCGCGCTGGAGGACCTGGTGCCATACCGTGAGTCAAGGCCACCAGCCTTGTAGGCCGGCGGCTACCGCTCCTTCCAGAACCACACACCGGAAACGAACCAGCGGCTGATGTCGAACAGGCTTTCTCCGACATAAGCCGTTCCATTCGCCCACAAGGACGAGCTCCTTGCTGTTCCCGTCCGAACGCTCTGACGGCCTTGGCTCCCCTCACCTACGCCAGGGACGTGACCATCACAAGCGTCCGCACAAGTACATCACCTCTGGACGCAGCAGACCGCCCTGGGCAACCGGACCTGCCTCACCCTGCCATTTCAGAAAAATGCCACCGGGAGGCGGGCTCCGAAGCAGTGGCCCGACACATACCGGAGTCCAACCTCGACCAACCCATCTACCGCATCAGGCGCGAGACTGCACCAACAGATCGAGGATGTGGTCAAACGACAGACCACCCTAATGCGCAACACCTTCTGGATCGTGAACACCGACTCCAACAAACAAGGCGCACCTGCCAGCCACGACGGGCCGGCGCAAGAAGATCCGAAGATGGCGTGGCTTGGGGGCTTGCTTGGCTGCTGCCGTGCGCCGAGGCAGACATGGACTCACACAAGGTGAGCAGGGTGGGCCAGAGCAGCGTGCCACTTGTGCCGACAGTGGTTTTTTGCTTTCCACGCTGCCAGGCGCGGTGCCGGGCCGGCTAACAAGCGGCACGCGTTTTTTCCCCGCAACATGGCCTGGGACCCCTGCGTGCGCCAGCATGCACACAAAGCCATGTGCGTCGGGAACAACGGAATCGCCGCCGTCGAGATTGTGGGCAGAGGAGATCAAGGTCAAATTTCGTTCCCCACGTCAAGCGCATGTCGACGCCTTCCGGGAAGTCATCGCTGGTCACGAGTTAAAGTAAGGTTTGCCCCCAACACAGGCAACCCAAGTCCCGGCGAGCTTGTGGCAGCGAAGGTTGGCGTTGGCCGGGCGCCGGACTGCAAATGTCCGGTCAGTAGCGACGCTGTCTGCAGCCCGCGTTGCAGCACTTTGGACGAGTGGCACCGACGGAGGCGAGGGCAACAGCGGCCCTGCAACCTTTGCGGATCATGTTTCAAGTTCGCCGCACAGGCGGATATCGACGGCCTTTAAAACCTAGAGGGCTGAAAAGTCAAAAAAGACCAGGCCGCTCCAAATCTCATGACATTCAATAAACCATTTGAATCTTTTCCAACCCGCAGGATCCGGCTCCACTTAGGCCTTAAGGATGATTGAACCGACCTCCGACCGCAATGGCCACACCATCCCTGAGTGACATCCTGGATGACGCCGGCGTGGAGACCGACGACGACATACGACACCTCGACCACATAAAATCCGATCAGTGGGAGCCCTGGCCCACATGTTCACCGACGGCGAGACGATCAGTACCTGGGTCACACGTTTCACCCCACCGGGTGTGTGCGCGCACCTCCTAATCAGTACAACGCACCATCAACGGCACGAACCGCAAGTTCGCCGGGCCATTGCACGCATGTGGCGCGAACATCACAAGAGCAAACGCTACACCGCACCGGCCCCGAGATCCTGACACAACGAACCTTCACCGCCATGGGCACCACCAACAACTCAGCCAAAGATCGGCGAAGCGAACGGAATTTTCCCGAAGCATCACTCTCAGCAACACGGCGTGTCCCCTCGCCATCATTCACACCGACGCCTTTTGCAAACAGGGCAAACGGACCTGGCGGGCCAAAGACGACGATGGCAGTACTTTTCATCACACCCCACACGGATCGAGCCAGAGTCGTACCGGGTGCACTGCCTCGAAGCATGGGCAGCCCTTATTGCCCCAATCATCTGTCGGCCCTGGCTTGCTAACACTACCTTCAGCTGTGCGATAACGAAGCAGCCAAGCACGCGATCCGCAGGGGAGTAGGCAAACACCAGCCTTTGAACGGCCTACTTGGAGCACATTGGACGCAACCGTCAGCAACTACTAATGCACATAGCACGTGTGCCCACACATGCCGACATTGCTGACCCTTTCAGTCGCCATGACATGTCCTTGGCTCACACCCACGGCTGGCAAATTTTGCAGCCACCGATGCACGCGTTGCACAAACGCACGTGCCGCATCATAGGCGACATTGAGTCGCCCACAACGTCGGATTCGACGGTGTAACGGAACTCCAAAAGTTCCACAAATCCCATTCCACCTGAAACTGACTGGATTTCCATGTCTCGTGAGAGCCCAGACACCAGTAAGGACACCGGCCACGCAGTAAGGATTTCAGTTGACCTACGACAGGAGAACGTCCACTCCGTTTCGATACCTTGCTGTACAACATTTTGGTTTGCATGCATTCGCATTTGCTTACCTCTGGTTCGTTGTACTTTGCTTTCAAGTCAGTGGTGTCTGAGAGACACCGACATTGACTCCAGAGAGAATACTGATCGACCGACAGGTACGATTCCACCCACTTGAGGCAGTGTGGTGAAAAACAGTCAGACCGAAGCTGGTTGCTGTCGAACTCTCTGGAGCGTCTCGTTGTTGCGGTTAACACTTGTGTTAAAAGTAACAACTGCAAGCGAAAGGGCTTGAACCCGCACTTGAATTGGAATGACAAGTGCTGTGCCCTTGCACGAGTTGTGTGCATTCACATCGCTTGCCATTTTGGTGAACAGATCTTTTCATTCCCACCCACCCTCACCCTTTTCACTGCATGCCTCCAGTACCTATCGGTCACTGAATTCAGCACTGATCGAGCGGACGGGAGAACGTCCACTCCCTTTCGGTACCTTGCTGTACAACATTTTGGTTTGCATGCGTTCGCATTTGCTTACCTTTATTTCGTTGCACTTTGCTTTCGAGTCAGTGGTGTCTGAGAGACACCGACGTCGACTCCAGAGAGAATACTGATCGACTGAAAGGTGTGGTGAAAAACAGTCAGACCGAAGCTGGTTGCTGTCGACGTCTCGTTGTTAAACCGGCGTTTTGTGCCAGCGAGTGTCTTCCCGTTCCTCACGCGGCTCGTTTTTTTTTTTTTTGCGTCGGCTCTCCTCCATGCAACGCAGAAGGGTGCTGGGGGTGCGCCACGCTTTCTCGCACTGGCGTGTGACAGCCAGACCCAACTTAGCTTGGTCAGTGACAATGGCAGCAGAAACTCTGGTTCGCTTCACTGTTGTTTTTAGCCGTCTAGAAAGCACACATACATTCGAGCCGAGCCTCGAGCACTTCCAGGACATGCCTTCCAGCTGTCGAGTAACTTTCTCCTTGTTTTTAGCCCGGTATTCGAGGTTGTGAAACTGCGCTCCGAGGAAATGCGCGGAGTGACTCGAGCAAACATGCGCTCAAGCTACTAAGTTTGTTGAGCCGGCGGTTGAGTTCAAAGTTTGCAGGCCCCGCATATACTGAAGCGGGCACTGGGGGGGGGGTACTGCGTCAGCGAACGCAGAGTACGATTCGCCAAAATTTAAGAAACACACCGCAATAAACCACCAGCCACTTCCGGGAGCTGCAAGGAAGACTGAATCACCAGTGACGTTGGAGGTGTAGACCACGTTTGTCTACGAACCAGAGCTCCATTTATAGTTGGTCAGTGGGGGAGTGTTCCGATACTCGAGGTGACCACCGTCACAAGAGCTGTCCTAGCTCGCTTTGTAAAGAACTTTGAACAGAGGCTGGAAACTGCGACATCTACAATAGCAGGGGGTATCCTAGGAATGGACATGAAACCCGAGGGGCTCCCTGTAAAAGGAACATTGTCTCCAGGACCCATTTGTCAGGTTCCATGGAAACTGGTGGGAGGGTAAGAGCAAGCAAAGCCTGTCAGGAGATCGCCATCACACGAGCAAGGAGGCATACCGATGGCTAGAGCCCTACAGTGGATTCAAGGGCGCACCTGCGCCGGATCTGACGCCTGGGCGAGTTTGCACGGGATTAAAACGAGCAGAAAATGATCGGAGGGGTTTTGTCGATCGGGTCATGGCGATGGCCTCTTGCTCACCTGATTTTGCCGTTTTGTGAGGTATTCTCAATGGATGGGATCAAGCACAGCAGTTTTTTGGGGTTTTCCGCGGAAGGCCAGAGTGTGGATAGGGTTTCCACGGCAGAAGTTCGCCCGGGTGTCAAGTCGGATTGGCCTGGGCTTACAAAAGGAAGCGAGAGCTTCCCATGATTAGAGGCTTCTCAAGGAGGGAGAGCGACAGAGTGAAAGGCAAGGTCCCACAGTGGTTTCCCGAAAGCCACAATATGTTTTTGCCCCCAGCGCGATAGTTTTTGAGGGAGTTACGATATTTTTCCGGATAAGCCGAGTGCGGATTGGAAACGCCTTTTTTGCCTTTGTAGTGAAACCAAAGTCGGATTGGCCAGGGAACGATGTGGGACTTTTGCCTGCAGTGGGTTTCCAAGGGTTAAGGCCCAATAGCAGTTACATGAACCCTGAGGTCCATTCCCTTCCAATGGAGATCCAGACCCCTCCACTGGGAGGGTCCAATGATGAGTCTAAAATTGGGAAGCTTCCCCGGGAGAAAGTAGTCCAAAAAAGAGGTGGTGAGGTTTACGAAGCAGGGATCAGGATTACCGGATCACTGAGGAAGCTGAAGAGCCTTTTTAAGAGCGACAACTTCTTCCAGCGGCGGGACTACAAAGCAGTCATCAACAGTGACGAGTCGAATCTGGAAATGGCCCAAGCTCTTGTGCGACATGGTGTTGTCATCATGGAGAATGTGCCAACACCAGCTCTTTGGTACGCCTTTTTTTCATAGAGGAACCTTTTATGTTATTGTCTTTGCCTAAGTATCGGGCACATATCTCACTCGTTCTCGCGGAAGAACCCAGGTGGCGCAGGCAAAGGACAACAGCGTCTTGCTCAACTTTGTCGACCAATGTCTTGGAGGCAGGGCCCGAGTGACGCAAACGTGCGATGTATGTATGTATGTATGTATGTATGTATGTATGTATGTATGTATGTATGTATGTATGCATGCATGTATGTATGTATGTATGTATGTATGTATGTATGTATGTATGTATGTATGTATGTATGTATGTATGTATGTATGTATGTTGTGTATGTATGTATGTATGTATGTATGTATGTATGTATGTATGTATGTATGTATGTATGTATGTGTGTATGTAATGTATGTATGTATGTATGTATGTATGTATGTATGTATGTATGTATGTATGTATGTATGTATGTATGTATGTAATGTATGTAATGTATGTATGTATGTATGTATGTATGTATGTATGTATGTATGTATGTATGTATGTATGTATTGCATGTATGTATGTATGTATGTATGTATGTATGTATGTATGTATGTATGTATGTATGTATGTATGTAATGTATGTAATGTATGTATGTATGTATGTATCTATGTATGTATGTATGTATGTATGTATGTATGTATGTATGTATGTATGTATGTATGTATGTATGTAATGTATGTATGTATGTATGTATGTATGTAATGTATGTATGTACGTATGTATGTATGTATGTAATGTATGTATGTATGTATGTATGTATGTATGTATGTAATGTATGTATGTATGTATGTATGTATGTAATGTATGTATGTATGTAATGTAATGTATGTATGTATGTATGTATGTATGTATGTATGTATGTAATGTATGTATGTATGTATGTATGTATGTATGTATGTATGTATGTATGTATGTATGTATGTATGTATGTAACGTATGTATGTATGTATGTATGTATGTATGTAATGTATGTATGTATGTATGTATGTATGTATGTATGTATGTATGTATGTATGTATGTAATGTATGTATGTATGTATGTATGTATGTATGTATGTATGTATGTATGTATGTATGTATGTATGTATGTATGTATGTATGTATGTATGTATGTATGTATGTATGTATGTATGTATGTATGTAATGTATGTATGTATGTATGTATGTATGTATGTATGTAATGTATGTATGTATGTATGTATGTATGTATGTATGTATGTATGTATGTATGTATGTATGTATGTATGTATGTATGTATGTATGTATGTATGTATGTATGTATGTAATGTAATGTAATGTAATGTAATGTAATGTATGTATGTATGTATGTATGTATGTATGTATGTATGTATGTATGTATGTATGTATGTATGTATGTATGTATGTATGTATGTATGCAATGTATGTATGTAATGTAATGTAATGTAATGTAATGTAATGTAATGTAATGTAATATGATGTAATGTAATCTAATGTAATGTAATGTAATGTATGTATGTATGTATGTATGCAATGTATGTACGTAAGCAATACCAAGTCCGTTTGGCTTGCCGGATCGTCAATGGCACTGGAGATAGCTTGCCAACCATTCCCAACCTGCTGGCCCTTTCCACAGTGAAAACATCAGATGCTGCATCCCCACTCCTTTCGCACTCCGTTCACACTCTATTCCGAACCTGCGCGGTGTTGTTTAGCATCTCTGTACAACCAGAAACAGGCATCAGCACAAAACAGTTCTCCCCTCAGCTCCTCCCATTTTTCTTTGTTTGCCACATTTCGAGGCATGCAGAAGGATCCAGCGCGAAAGGATCCCAATTGGGTGATTCAGAAGAAGGCCGACGCTTTGAGCGTGTCCTACTCCCAGGAGAAGCGTTTGAATAATCACACTGACCAGTCGGTGCCGGCCCATGGCATTCCAGCTTTGCTACTGGCCACTTGCCAGCTTTCCAAATCGGACATACACGTGGGTTCGTTTGTTTGTTCGTTTGTATGTTTGCTTGTTTGCTTGTTTGTTCTTGCGTGCTTTCTGGCTTGTTTGTTGGTCTGTTTGTTTGTTTGTTTGTTTGTTTGTTTGTTTGTCTGTTTGTCTGTTTGTCTGTTTGTCTGTTTGTCTGTTTGTCCGTTTGTCCGTTTGTCCGTTTGTCTGTTTGTCTGTTTGTCTGTTTGTCTGTTTGTTTGTTTGTTTGTTTGTTTGTTTGCTTGCTTGCTTGCTTGCTTGCCTGCCTGCTTGCTTGCTTGCTTGTTTGTGTGTTTGTGTGTTTGCGTGTTTGCTGGTTTGTTTGTTTGTTTGTTTGTTTGTTTGTTTGTTTGTTTGTTTGCTTGTTTGTGTGCTTGCTTGCTTGCTTTGGTTTGTTTGTTTGTTTGTTTGTTTGTTTGGTCAGTTTGTTTGTTTGTTTGTTTGTTTGTTTGTTTGTTTGCTTGTTCACACTTGTTTGTTTTTGTTTGTTTGAGGGTACCGTTTGCAGCTTGGTTTAGGGGGGGAACCAGCAAGAACAACCTTGTTCTTAGTTCCATGTGGCCACCCCACAACAGGTAACGAAAACGTACCCCTATCGACCTTGGGAAAGCCAGACATGGTTTTCCAGTTTCGAATCTGTTTCCAGTCATCGCAGTCACTTTTTCTCTTTCTGGATGCCTCTCTTTCACCCGGGAAAGGGTCGTGCTGAAGGGTCTCACCTAGGCGCCCCTCTTGGCTCGCGTCTCAAAAACCGAGGTTTCGGCAAAGGCTGCTGAGGTTCAAAGGGGCGCGACCTTTTTTTGTGGACCTTCTTTTGGTGCCCCCAACAAAAAACAAAAATCAAAACGGCAGACCCCGGTATCAAACAGAAAAGCGCCCAGGTAGTGAACTATGTCTCGGGTAGCGGGTACAACACCCTGGTGGATGGCTACGCTGTGGCTGAAGCGCTGAGAGAGCGTGATCCCAACGCGTTCCGGCTGCTGTCAACGTACGGCAACTGCCAGGAGAGTCGTCGTCTTGTCAAGGCCCCCCCCCCCCCCGTTTTTTCGTTTTTTGGGGCCGAAGGCCCATAGGAGCGAATTGGCGGGCCTTGGGCCGCTAGGGGCTCCTTGCAGTCAAGTTTTCCTGAACGGGAGCATACGTCCGAGCTTCGGCAGTCCACTCAGAAATCTTGGGCAACCTCCTGCAGGAGAGGGACTTCGTGCGGTCCCGGGTGGATTCGGTTCAGGAGGGCACTCAGACCATGCTCATCAACACCAAGCAGCCCATCATCAACACTGATGACAAGGGCAACGTGATTCGCGTTCAATTCAACGAAGTGTTCAGAACGCCAACCACGATTCCATTTGACGATTTTGAGGATTGGTATCGCGCCTACTACCTGTGGAACGACATGATCCATTCACCAGAGTTTGAGGTTGAAGTCTCTTTGGGCCAGGGCCGCTCACTTGAAAGTTGCAAAGTGACTGGAACTATTTTTTTCCATAAGGTAAAGCCCTTGAGGCAAAGCTCTGAGCACCCGAAGTATTCCCTAGCCCCAACCGTGTTTGTTCTAAACCCAACATCTTTGGCTGTAAGAACCTCGATAAGGACAGATGCTGATTTTGGACAATTGGCGCGTGTTGCACGGCCGGGCGGGCGGCAGAAGCAGCAGCGACCGTGTGATCATGGGGGGCACGGTAGTACGGGAGGCCTTCATGTCGAGGGCGATTCGCCTCATGGGAGCGTACTATCCGATTGCGGACTACGCGGCCCATCAACCTGAGTAGCTTTCGGGTGGCCGAGGTGTTTCAGGGGGCCGTGCCAAGCTTTGGTGGATCCAAAGTCAATTGGTGTTGATTGCTGCGCAAAGTAAAACCAAATGCAACACAACCTTTCCTTGAAAAGGCAGCAACGGCCTTTTTTGCCCCCTGTGAGATGCGCATGTTTCACACAAGTCAATGGCACAACCACACGCTGCGAAGAAGTCTGGCAAAATGCGATCCGTCACGGGCATCCCGTCCTTGGCTATTTGATTGAGCCGCTTGCACATGTGCAAAACAGGGGTATCCATTTCAAAACGGGTGGCTCTCTTTTGTTTTTTGTGAAAAACACCCCAAAAAACACCAGCGCCCTGTGGTGCCTTTGGCTGCCACTGGTCGGAGCATCTGCGTGCGCCCTTCAGCTCAAGTCGCGTCAAACTGCGTCCTGTGCAGTTTGAGGCCTTTGGCGAGTCGCCAGCGAGCGGTTTGGGGGATTGTCTCCGATCGCCCGACGTGAGGCAGATTGCATGGCGCCTGGCTTTGTGCTTGCGCCTCAGGTTTTTTGGGGGCCCCTGACCCTTGAGAGGGAAAGGAGGACTCTTCTTCTTCTTTTCGGACTCTCAGCGTCGCAGATGCTGAGGTTTTTATCAAGCCTGGCCACGGCGGCGGCATTGACATGCCTCCCTGATGCCGTTCCGGAATCTCAGCGCAAGAATGTGACTATCCAAGGCGCACTTCGCGGAACGTGAATTGGAGAAACACGTGATTTGGTAAGTTGGGCCCTTATGACAAGCAATCACATGGTAAGCTAACCATCAAGATGCACCCCTAGTTCTCCGAGTTAGAACCAAGATGAGTTTCTTCAAGCCACTGCACTTGAGCTGATGTGAAGTGAGGTTGCGGGCAAACATGGGGTGTGTTTTGCATAGGGCTTCTCAAACTGGTTGTTGCTCCATTTGATGTTCCTTTCAAAACACAAGAGTCGACACATGAGCAACATTTACAGTGTATCGTGCGTACGTGCACCCATGATTTTTTATGATGGTTTTCACAAAGTTAAACCAGTACTCAGCCACTATATCAACGGTTTTTCTACACCCCATTTTCCCCTCAGGGTGTTTTTTTTTTGGGGCAGAGGAAGGCATTCGAGAGGTGTCCCTCAGGGTGTGAAGCGCGCACATTTGACTTCGGCGAGGCGTCTCGATGCCACTAGGCTATCACAGCTTGAGTTGGGAATCCGAAGCTTGGATGGCAGCAAGCGGATTTAGTCGACGGAGCAAACGGTAGGGGGTTGATCAAAAGGTCCGTACATGACCGCTGGTTGGAAAACCACACATAGGAAAAGTTACCCATGATCATTTGGCCCGGAATATTGATCAACTTTATGTGGGCAAGACAAGGGGATGACGGAAATTCTACGCCATTTACCGCCCATCAACATCAACGCTTGCCCCCCAAGTGCCCGGTCGGCGAGCTGAGGCACTGATATTGAAGGACATCTGGGTCATCCTGTGTGGCACTTAGAGTCCTTCCGCCTGCCGAAAGAGTTGCCCTTGGCATCTCAGGATGACAGAGGTGCTGGGGATCAATGCCAAAGACATGGGCGTCTCCTCCAATGCTGCACAGGCTCCTCTCTGCTTGCGCTTTACGCACTTTGCGCATTGCATGAGAATGCGCATCAACAACTGCAAATGCATTGGTTGCTTTGAGATTCCTTTGGGCTTTGTCAGGGTTTCCTGCTCGTTTACTTTAACAAAGGGCTCATCCAAGGAGGACTCATCCTAGTTCATTTCGATGTCATGTTTTCTCAGCCTGCTTTTGGTGCGCTGATGACTTGGGAATGCCTCGCTCGCACGCAAGGCGTGGTGGCTGATCGGAGGCTGCGAGAACAAGTTGGGAAACACGTTCGAGGAGAGGCAATGTATGCAGCCCGGTTTCATCCCGGAATGCCACGTGATCATGGAGGCTGGGGGACAAGGGGGGCTTGCAAAAAAGAGTGGGTGCGTTTCTGCTCGCCTGTTGTCACCGCGAAAGGAAAAAGACCTCGCCCCTGCTCCCAAATTAGTATCCTCTGCTTGAAGCCTTGAAAAGGGAGCCGCGGAAATCGGGCTAGGCATCGAAAGGCGAGCGCCGGGGCCGTTTTTGGTGTCCAAGAGCTGGCACTGGGCGTTAATTGAGCACTGCACCCCGCACTTCCGGTTAGGTTTGGAAGGGTGCGGGTCCAAGTCAACCAGCCTTCCAGAGGGCTCGTGGGTGGGGCCATTCCTCTGATCCGCCGGAGTAATCCGAAGTTCACACGCCCAGCGAAGCAGGGGTAAAGACAAACAAGGCCAGTGCCGGATCTCAAGCTCCGAGTTGCACACGGCTCAGTTTCTTTTCTTCACCCCCAAAAACTGCAATCCGATTCGGTGGGTTTCCCCAAAAGGTTTACGGGGGGGTTCTGAGAGTGGAGTCAAATGGGAATTCGGCAGATGTGGAAGAATCCACTGACCGGGCTGATCAAAGAGTACGACACCTGGAATGCCGACCTCGCGCCGGTGGTGGCAGTCTGGCTGAGAAATTTGGTCGTGACCTTGGGATTCGGGCGGCACAGTTGTTTTGGCCCAAACCTTCCTTCAGCTATTTTTCTGGAGGGTTCTACAAACCTGGCTTGCTTTGCGATCATGTTGAAACTCAAATGGGTTTTGGGCAATGGGCCGCTTGGCAACTTTGGCGGGACCCTGCAATTGCATGGACACTTTTTCGAGTTCCCTGAAACCCAAGGTGAGAAGCAGTCCCCACACACAGACACAGACAGACACCCAGACACGCAGATGCTTTTTCACCACCTACTCTTTTTTGGGTCACCAACTTGAGCATTTCTGGGCGCGGGGTTGAAACCCTCCATTCTCTTTGAAGGACTAGTTTTCCTGCAAAGGAAGCTCCTGCCAGTATTCATATGCTTGTCTCATGTTGCCCAAAATGACATTTTGTGCTGCCTTTCGTCATTTAGGTGCAAGCATCCACATCTAGGGTATTGTGAAACAAACAAGATGGACATCAGCCAAAGAAAAGGAGCACCGCCGCGTGAGTCAAATGCTAGGTTTTCGACCCCATCTTTATTTTTCAATGAAACCTCCGCCATACCCCCGTCCTTGGACCGACGCCAGGGCACACTTTGGTCCCTTGGATCTATTTCCGTAGATCCACTTTATGGCTGGGTTAGACGAGAACGGGCCTTGCGCCCGTGTTGCGGAAAGTAGATATGTACACATGATCGCGTGAAGGTCGATCACTTGAGAAACGCAGAGCAAAACAGACACAAATTGCTTTTGACCTTCCGAATATACTTGCTTGTGTACTCTGTTTTGCTGGAAGCTACATTGGTGCAAAACGAGACGCGCTGTCATTAAATCATCATCTCCATGAGGCTCGATTGTGCCTTTGGTTGTCTCAACTTCGGATTAAGGCCCTATCTGCGGGGCAATGCTTAGCCACGCAATATTGCCATTGGGTCTTCACTAGCAGTATTTTTCCGCCGCTCTAGTTCTTCTTGCCAAAGTCGTGGTAGTCTGCTGACCATCGGCTGTAGTGATTCCATTCGTGGTCACTTTGATGACGGTTGTCCTTCGTGTTGTGCCACTTGGGCTCCTCAGATTTTTGTTGACTTCTTCATGCTCACCAGAAGAGGAAGGTGCCAGTCAGAGTCTCATCGGTTGTGTTGTTCAAGTGCTGATGATGAGACTTTGTATCCACGGATGTCATCTTGTTCGAGTTCGCGTTGTTTATCTCGACCCATGTCATCCTGTTTCGTTGCAATCTACTGGAAAGCATATTTCAGCACGCAACCTGGGAGGGTTGTGTCGATACCTATTCTTGGCAAAGAGCATGCAACGCGCCATGTCTTTGTGCGTTGCCAAGCTTCACCTCGTACATGATGGCACGCATCAGTCCAATAGTAGGATGGCGCACCTCCTGGTTAGTAGAGCACAAGGTGGCCGTTCTGTTGAGATCACCGTGTTTAAATACCAGCAGAAGGAACTGTTGTTGCATGTCGTAACGGCGGAGAATTTCCCGGCGCGAGTTGGGTGGACATGACGTCGCACGCTCTTTCTTGATGTCTGAGCGTCAACGGAAACAATCTTAATGTAGTGTCCGGAATATTTGGCCTGGGTGATTCCGAATTAGCGTCTCAAGATGCCCACAGTAGTCGCCCAGTGTGCTGTTGACATTGTATAGCGCTCGAGCGAGATACTTCTCAATGTCATTTATCTCACCAGTCTCTCTCGTTGTTGGTCTGCGAGCTCGCTCTGGGTGATGAAGACTATCTCACCGAATGCGAATGGAGCCGCGGCTTACATTTTCTGTGTGTCGAGCGTCGGGGATCGGTTGGATCTGCGTAAAGTCTGGCGGTGCTCCTGGTCCAGCGGATGGCCAAGCCTGTGCTTGTTGCGCATTTCTTGCCTTTGCTTCTTGTACTGCGGGCTGCGGCGATTGTGCCGTACCTGCCTGGAACCAGACCGTTTCATGCTGCCTCGAGTCTCCGAAGCGACATCTCCAACTTGGAAATGAGTATGAGGAACTCGTCGTTGTTTGTCTGGTGATGGTAGAAAGTGAGAAGTCGGTGTCGGCAAACGACGTCGCTTCTTCCGGCTCTCAACTCTTGAGCCTGCCTGCCTTGAAGTCCCCACTTTGACGGTTCTACCCAAGTGATGTTGTCGATAGCCGCCTCGCGCCTGAGTACGTCGCAGAACGGCGCCAACTTGGCAGTCGTTGACAAGGTGGTCGCATCCCCAGCACGTCCCATTCGCTTGCCGGCTGCGGCAAAGGAATCTGGTCACATTGCTCCGCTACCGCAAATGCAGATCGATCGCAGGGGGCAAGGGCTCCTAAGCAACACACTTGGTCCCTGGGATGTATCTCCGAACAGTCAGGTGGAGTTTCAGGAGCCGTGGAAACGTCTCTGGACTCAATGTAGCCAGCAGTTGTAGCTCTTTCAGCAGAATCCTTTTTCCTCCCTATGGCAACAGAGTAGCTCGGGTTAGATGAGAAAGGGCTTTGAGCCCGTGTTGCGGAAAGTAGATTTGTACAAATGACTGCATGAAGGTCAATCACTTTGAACACACAGAACACCCCTCCCTTTCCGGGTGCCCTCGCGCGCTTCTCTTGGCAATTGTTGCTCCCCTTGGCTTTCCAGGGGACTTGAAGAATCTGATCGAATTTCGCTGGAAGCCGCGGAGAGCTCCAATTCCTTCGCGCAGAGTCAAACCCCCCTCAAGCTACTTTTTGGTGGCATCCCCGAAGACCGCAGATCCAAGCTGCGGCCGTAGATCCAAACGTGTCCCATGTAGCCGTAGACCCAACGTTCGAGGCCAAAGAGCTCAGCTATGCCGGCTCCGAGTTCTTGTGCCTTGACTTAAGTGTTGAATGGACGTTTCTCCGAGTCGGGCCCACACGGGCACCAAAGGGAAACAGATCTCATTGAGAAGTGGGTTGGTTGATTCCCCTAAACCGGGCTGAATCCTGAATTGGTCTACGGCCTCCTGTGTCCCTTGCGCCATGTTTTGACACACTTTGCACTCCCACACAGCTTCACCCCTTTCGCTTGCTTTCGCCAAGCTTGCAACTGCCGGCCACGACGTGCAGTGGCAGCATGCGACATTTGGAACACCCGCGAAATGCCCAAATGACGTCCACAGGGTCCAGACTTGAGCATTGCCAATGTTAAACCAAGAGTTTTTGGCTCCAGGCCTGAAGTGCCTTTGCTGTGTTTCCCTGCAAAGGTGCCTGCCCCAACTCAGCGACCGAGGTCCGTGTTCCCCAAGGCGATTGACTTAGCGGCACAAGATGGCATCGCTTTGAACTTCTATCAGTCGTGGAACGCGTCTTGGTCGAACATGTCCCGGTACTTCAGCAGGATCACAGATATCGACTTCGCCGAGACTGGGGCCGCATACAGCGCGGCTGATTTTTTTGATCGGGGTGTTGGGGCTATAGACGGCGAGCCCAACGCGCTGGGACACGTGGTTTGTGTTAGAATTCTCCCATACGGGTATGGGTCCAAGTAAAACCACCAGGGGACCGCATGTTTAGTCTTTGGCTCCATTTACCAGGGTGCCAGTTTGAATTGGTACGCATTTTGACCCACAGCCATACTTGGGCGAATTCGCCTGAATTGCTCAGGAGCTGGCGAATTGCTCGGCCATGTACAAGTTGAAAGTGACCAGCTTCCTCGACACCTTTGAGGAAGTCACGGGCTACCAGGCTATCCG